TTTCTCCATTTCCCCCTATTCCAATAGTCAACCGTCCTAATTCTCTACTTTGGACCCTTTTTTTTATCCTTCACCAATTTGGAAGTCTGTCAAACTGCGACACAGAACGAAAACGAACGCTATCGTGTTAAATTGTAGACTATAGTTTAAAATTAATCCCAACCGGAAAAATTTTGTAAACCTGTTTGTTATTTTCACACGACTTTGCTCTAAGTGATAAAAAAATATATGCCAAATTTCAAGAAGATTGGATAATATTTAGAGGTTACACACATTGCTCACTTTACGTCCCGTTCAAGGCTTTATAGAAGAACAACGAGTGAACATGATTAACTACTTACAAAATGTCCTAAAAGATGGAAGTCATCCAAGAGAAGACTACAAAGAGTTATAACACGTTTGTACCTAGGAGGTTGATCTCAAGACGAATTCAGTTTCAGAATCCCAGCAAGGTGGATGGCAAAAGCAATTTATGCACTTAAAATTGTTCTTCACTAAACATTTTAATATGCCTCAATGAGAATTGAAAGGAATGAAAAGGGTTGCACATTTTGTCACCCTCATATATATTCGTTTTTGGCACGAAGCAATTGTCGATGAAAAATGATTTGGAAATGCTGCAGCTTCTGAATATTTACCCAGATATATAGACGTCAAAAAAGTGCTTTTACTGTTGTTAAGAGACACCTGTGGTATCTGTCAGAAACAAACGTAGATTTTTTGGACGAACGTATTAGTCAGATTGAAAAGGAAAATATGACTAAACATTTAGAAACCAAACATCCAAATAAAAAGGAAATGAAACGATTAGACGGTAAAAACTTAATTTTTAAAGGAAAAGACCTGAGCCATTTCATGACTAGTAAAAAAAAAATGTTTTTTGAATTGTTTGACAGAATATTGCGGTGATTCTCTAAGAAGTCAAGCAGACGTAGAAAGAGGAATTGCTCTAATAAAGAAATTTCACGAATCGGTCACAGATGAACAACAAAAATAATTTTTGCTGAGAGTAGTGGTGCATCATAGGAAAGTCGTCACCAAGACATGTTTTTCCTATCTATTACCTAATAATCTTAATAATATTACCTAATAATAATGTGTAGTTTTAGGTTTGAGATTTATAGTTTTAACAATAAATAAAAAGTAATTAACATTGAAAAGTCGTATCTTTTGCATACTTTTACAAAACTGGTCAAAATGTGCAACCTCTAAAAAGTTTGCAAAAATTTTAAATTTAATTTTTTTTACTTACAAAATAAAACCCCAACTCCCATCTACTAAAAATTTTCCAATAAATCGGTAATAATTTTTTTGTAATTTTCACTTTTTTTATTTCTCAAAAATTCTTCCACAACCATTTTGAATGACTTCCAAGCAGATTTTTCATTAACAGATGAAAAGCTTTAAAACTGAGAATCTTTCATAATTTTATAGATCTGTGGGCCAACAAAATATACCCTGGTAAATACCAAAAAGCATCACTGTTTTTGTCAAGCGCTTTTACAAAATTTGACATGTAAAGGGTGGATGGATCTACCAAAAGCTACCTTCATTTTGCCCGAAATATACTCATTTTGATTTAGGCCATTTTTTCTTACATAATTATGCTCTTTTGCTCTAATGTCTTACAAACAAAGGAAACAAGAGTATTTTCTGTAACCACCCTGCAATCTTAACAACAAATCGATGACCATGAGGTCGCCGTACACTTTCCATTGGTATTCTTTATACTTTATTAAACTAATTAAAGTACACATCGTTTCATAGCTCTTATTACAATTTACTGCGTGTCCTATTGATATAGATGGTTTTTTATTTCCGTTGTGTAATAAAACAGTTTTTGAACTATATTTTAAAGAGTCTATAAATAAGCGCCACTCTGTTTTATCATAGTTTTAATTCATTGCTTCAAAAAGCTCCGGGATATCAGTACAATAACAATATTCACCATCTCTACGACATGGCCTCCAGAACAAGGAGAAGAGGAACATATTATTAAGATAGAAGAAGAAGAAGTAAAAATTACAGCTCGTAAGCTTACGAACAACAAAGCTCTTGGTCGAGACGGGATACCCTCAAAAATAGTCAAAATGATAACCGTTAAATTCCCTTTAGAGATAGCGAAGATACTTAATGACATCCTCGAGGAAAGCATCTTCCCTGGTGCATGGAAGAAAGGCCGGTTAGTGCTAATTCAGAAACCTGGAAAGATCGAAGAAGATCCGAGTGCCTATCGCCCACTAGGCCTATTGGATACAATGGGAAAACTCCTGAAAAGATTAAGGTTGGAGCTGTAAAACAAGGAAAACCTGTTAGATAGGCAGTTTGGTTTTAGAAAGAAACGATCTTCTGTTGACGCTATAAGAGAGGTTCAAAAACTAGCAGAATTGGAAATGGGAAAGAACCAAAGAACAAGAGGATTTTGTGTGCTAGTAACTGCAGTTTGTAAATGTCTTTAACACAACCTAATGGAAGCATATAATAAAAGAGCTAAGAAGACGGAAAATATCAAAGTATATTCGCACAATAATAGCAAAACTTTACAAACCGCTATATTATAGATGAAAATCTTGTGGAATACAAAATAGCCGGGAGAGTACCGTAGGGTTCGGTTTTGGGACCGCTGCTTTGGAACATCCTGCATGATGTAGCATATGCTGATGACTTAGGCGTGAAGGTTCTAAGAAGAACTGAAACAGAACTAATGGAAACTACAAATGTCGTACTGGAGATAATTAGTAGGTGAATAATAGATCATGACCTGCAGTTGGCACCTCGAAAAACTGAGGCAGTGCTGTTGATAGGAAAGAAAGAAATAAAAACCCCAATTAGTTTCCAATTGGAAGGGGTCCAGATTGTACCAATAAAAAAGTGTTAACTATCTATGGACCAGAACTTAAACTTTAGACAACACTTAGAACGAGTTACAGCTAAATGTAAACGAACATCAGCGGCGCTGATTCGAATAATATCTAAAGCAAGTGGAGTTAGTGAAATAAAAGGCAGAATACTAGTAGCAGCATCTCAGTCAATTACATTATAGGCGTCAACCATATGGGATAAGGCCCTAAATAAAAAGTATAATCTAATATTAATTGACAGCACGCAGCGGATTCTGGCGGTAAGGTAATGGTTACAAGCCAATATCCTAGTAGCCTAGTAATATCCGGAGTAATACCCATAACATTGCTAGCGCTAGAGAGACGCGAAACAATTGGTAAAAATGACATAGAGAAAACGGAAGCCAGAAAAGGGACGCTGCAAAGATGGCAAGAACAATGGAGCAGTAGCCAGAAAAATAGATGGACATGAATCCTGATCCCTGATCTAACCATTTGGATAAGGAGGGATATTGGACAAGTCAACTACCACTTGACACAATTCTAAACTGGCCATGGGTGTTTTATGGAATATTACTTTAAAATTAAATTAATAGATACAGATGAGTGCATGTACTGCCAACACACAGTTTTCCAATATCAGAAATGGGAGGACAAAAGAAGACAAGTCGAAAACAGCATTGGATTTAAAATAACAAAAGAAAATATTATTAAAACCATGATATCAGATAAACATATATGGCATAGGATATTAAAGGAGAAAGAGTTTGAGATAAAACGAAGAGAGCTGATCAGAAGACAATAAAAAAAAGATAGAAAGGATAAGAAGATAATACAAAACACAAGATGGTGCATAGCGAAGTAATGCCTGACGGCGGTTCCACTATACCCCATGGTAAGAAAGGGAGTGATTTTTTAGTCTGTAAAATTGGACGCTACCTTGCAGTACGGGCTGCTTGGTGTCTTTTGAAGATCTTTCCATTTCCACAAAAAAAATCTCATTTGAAAAATTTTAAGTAAACTTTGCTTTTCTTTTGAAAAACGTAACTTTTGTGTCTGGTGTTAATAAGTTCCATTGTTGTAAGTGGGAACCAAGAGGCTCTGCTTTAAATCTTAGTAATTGTAAAATCCTTTTAAGATCATTTTATTCGACTTGGGTAAATGAGGAGTGTTTCCTTGAAGATAGAACTCGTCAGAATCACTAGAAATCGATTTGAATTCAACATCACTTTCATTGGCACCTAGTATATTTGCACCTGAACTACCGGGACAAACTGGATGTGGTAGATCTTTCGAATGCAAAATAGGCTTAGAGCAACAGACGGAACTTCGACATATATAATACTGGCCTTATTTTTTTTGGTATATCCAAATATCTTCGTAACACAAAAGTAACAATCATTTTCATGATTAGTAGGTTCTCTCTATAGCATTAGTGAAACAAATGGAAGGTGTACGTTTTTTTCTCATGATCAATGGGGTAAGGCGATTCTACAGCTATCGCAAAACAAATGAGGCACCCACTTTTATATTAGTTTCCAACAGAAAATCCATAATAATGAAGATATGCACTTTTTAATGAATCTACAACATGTCTTCTCTTTTTTGAAAATACTAACTGTCCACAAACACAACAAAAACGATCAGAACTTTGTTTAAACTTTCTATTCGACATTTTAAATCAATCTGAAACAAGATATTGGGTTGTTGTATAAGTCTTTGTAATAATGCGCATTAATTTAGTTACGAATACTTCAAGAGGTGCAAACTGACAAGTTCATACATGAATCAATTAGTTGTTTTTTAATATGTGACAATAATAAATTAATTTTATGTATTTATATTATTAAATAATGTTAAAATAAATATTATGTTTCTGCAATTAATTATGCAACAACCCAATAATTGTCGTTTGAAGTGAACAAATAAACAATAAAATGTCGTCAACACGTTGGGTAATTGAAAAAAAAAACATTTGACTGCAGGAAGAAATTGTGACGTGACACTTTTAGGTTTAAAGAAGGTAGGTAAACTTATTTATATACATTTCTTTCGGGGTATAAATAAAAGTGATCAATTATTAATAACATTAAAAATATCTGCTTTACAAGTGACATACTATTATTTTACTAGCAACTTGTATACTCAAAGATTAATTACCTGATGGATCGCTGGGAACGAAATCTATGGTTCTGGTTTTACACCGGACATTTTCTCCAGACCCATCTACCCATATGTATGTGGCCTGGCACTTTCCATCTGGAATAGGTAGAGACAAATAGTGTTGGATTAAGGATTTATCCAATGCTGCGTTTGGAGAGCTCTCCAACATTTTAGCCATTTGGAACTGAAAAGAAAAATATAGTTAAAATATTTTTTACAATAATTATTTACAATTTGATCTTTTAAATTCATTCTGTATGATACAGTGATTTATTTTATGTTGTGCCACACCAACAAAGAAAATTAGTTGCAGAAAGACGCATATAAAGTCACACAAGTAGTTATATAATTTATCAGTGCAAATAACTCGAAGATAAAATGTGTAGATAGTAAAAAGATTTTTTGTATAATCTGTTCAATCAAATGTTTTTTCTCTACCTATATAGTTACGTAATTTACATTTAACGGGTTCTGGCCAACGCTCGTAAGTAAACTTTATTTAATAATAGTAATTACAATTAATCATTTTTACTCTAATACAAGACATATTTTGTCACCGTAATAGAATATATAAAGTTATAAGATCAATTGATACTGTTTATTGCAAATAAATAAATTTAGCATTTTTGTTTATTATTTTAGATTGTTGTTTATTATACATAGGTACCAATTATAGAAATCTTTAGTGAGTACTTGCTTGCAATTTTAGTAATATATGTACCTACCTTATATAATTAATTATTTCATACATAAATAAAATCAACAACTATTATCTGAGTCTTTTTAGTTCCGATTGGTTTTGACAGAGTAGTTTTAATCATGGTTTTCTTCCATCTACTTTTAACCATAAAGTCATACCTAGCTGAATTGTTGGTCTTTTTAAACTTTTGACTGTAGCGGGTCATATTTTTAATGTATGTCATCTGCAGCAGAAAGACCTACATGTTCTACATTTAAAAGTAATTAATTGTCCTTTCTACAAACTCGGCTGTATCTTTACTGAAATATATTTATTCACAATTCACATAGTGGTTTGGTTTTTGGTTTGGTAATTTGATGTCATAATTCTCCTCATTGTCAGATTTTGATATTGGTAGCTTTGATCAAGACAAGAGAGTCCTTGAACGAAAAATCGATGTTCGGGTTTTAGTTTTAAAGCACAAAGAGACTAACAAATCTGATGCACAGTGTTATTCGAACGTTGATTTTCGATCACACAGGTCATATATCGGACGGTTTCGGCGAAGACAGAACAATATAATAATATTAATCTCTTTTATGGTCTTGGCATTGGCTTGGTCGGAAAACGGTTAATTAATAATAGTAAATAGTGTAGAAGTCATAATTGCGCAATGTCATCAAATTAATTTCGAATCGATCATGTTGAAACTACTCTTAGGTAAGTAAGTCATTTAAAAGTTGTAATTCTGCATACGGACTTTAATTATATTTGAATACGACCCTGATTAGTCAACCATTTAAGCCACGCCCAGTGGGGTCATTTTTAATAAAACGTATCATATGCAAAACAATTGTCTAATGGCATCTCCAATAGTATTATACCTCCATGGCACCACATAAGCTTCTTTGCCATCCAAATCACTCATCATTGACGTTTTAATAACAAATTTTATTTTATTCCTCTATATTGTATTAGTATAAACAAACAACTAAAAATCTAGGTGGCGAACAGACAAGCTGATTCATGAATAAGGAGGTTGACAAACATGGACTCTGATCTTTTATTCCCGTCAGCGCTTGGACCATGATCGTTTTTAGGCGACACGTTGTATCTTTGAACGTTATATTTTTGAAGACTATGAACTATCATCCCCGAAGTAAATAATAGTTGATTTATATTTGGTACTAGCTTCACGATGGCGCCATTCTCTTATTTTTGGCAAAAATGGACTCTGATCGTTATTCGCCGCGACCCTTCAATTGGAAAACTTGTGTATTTAAAGTTACATTCAGTGCAACTTTTTTTAGTACGAGCTCAAGAGACGGTGTTTTAAATGCGGTGCAAGAATGCGACGCGTGAGAATCATACTCTTTTTTTATAATATCATCTTCGTCTTCGAACGAAAGTTATATAAAAACACAAAACAAAAAAAGAGACAGGTACTTTTTCTAAATCATGGAAAAAAATTATAATTTTGTTTGTTAGTTTAAAAAGTATTTTAGATTCTCTTAATTGATTGTTTAACTAATTATATCTAAATTTAATCAAACTATTTCTTAATAATGAAAGCTATAGAAGAAATAACAAATATTTTATTATTAATTATTAATTTCGTGTTCCATTGACAATGCACTGGTTCAAAGCTTTTGTGCACCAGGGTCCAGGATCAGGCATCATAAAACTTCAGTTCATATTTAGTGCATACCAATGGAAAACGTTGTTATATTTAAAAGACACACATTTTTTTATATATAATCATAAAAATTATAGAAAATATTTACGTTTTAGATATGAAAATAAATGTATGAATTTACGTGTCTGCCTTTTGGAATTGATATTGTACCATATAGTTTCACGAAGATCTTAAAATTCTGTATAGATCTTCTGTATTCTTCTATATTCTATATAATATAATATTATATAATTCAATATAATATTTAAATAGTTTATCTAAATAAAAACTAATAAAATAAAGACAGTTATAGACTAAAAATTAGATTAAAAGAAGAACATATTTAAATTAAAATAGAAGATTTTATAGCATAATAATATAGCAAGGTACCAAAACCAAAGTCTTCTGAATAAGCTCATAGGTCCTACATTTTTATTATCGTGTGCATGAATATTTATACTTAAATCTAATAGGTCACTTTACAAGGTTAGCAGTTCGATAAAACACTTTAGAATCAGATTAAAATTTTATCAAAATGAAAAGAAACTATGTACATACAGATAGTTAATTAGTACGGGTACTTAGTTAAAAATTTTCATTTGAATAGATGACCATTTGCCAGGTTTATATTTATTTATTGGAATCTATTTTGTTTCGTAGTTTATCATTTATGTTGACAGTAAAAGTTTTTTTTATTTTTTGGGGTTCTAGTTCTTTGGGCTTACGATTTTGGTTAAATTTAATACCGCCTACATTTTTTAAATTGGTATTTTGGATAGAAGTTCCTGGTTTTGGCTCTAATAATATTTCTTTAACTACTTTTTCTTCTTCATTCACTTAATTTTCACTTGTTCCGTATTCTACATCGGCTGAGGGATTAGGAGTAGGTGGTGCACTATTTGATTATTTCAATTTTTTCTTTCTTCCAAAATCAACTATTCTACTGTTAATCCCTATGTATAATTTCCTCTCTTTGACTATCTGTTAAGTCATTCACTATAGATACTTCAAGCTATAAGGTCTACAATATCAGATTCTGTGAGAGTCATATTTAATAAATGGTTGAGTTCAGTGCAAATAAATATTAGTGATCTCTCTGTAGGGGGTTTGTTCTCTCTAATTTTTCTACTAGATATTTCAGTTCTTTATTCTTCTGTTCTAAACTGTTCACTTTGTTATTTACCGTTTCTATTTTTATAAGGAGAAGTGTTTCACTTGTTTCAATTGCATTTTTAAGGCCGCAGTATCACTGTATTTCTTATATAAGAAGCAAGGGTTCACCATTTCCGATTGCATTTAAATCCCGCTAAATGAATTAAAATAAATCTTCTACCAGCTTAAAGTATAAGGTTTGGAGAATGAAATCTCCTATTTTTTATTTGTCCTGTTTATACACTGAATTTAAAAAAAAATCATAAAAAGTGATTTTAAAACCAGAGGCTAAAAAGTAGGAGATTTCATTCTACATATTTTTCCAAGTATCCCGCCAAAATATTTCTAAATTTTATTGCGTATTTTTCAAATCTAACTGGAAATACGATTAACAAATATTTGATAAATTTATTTGTCAAATTAGAGATTTTCTATGAATTCCTGTAATTGTGTACAGTTCATGTAGTTCATCTATTTTTAAGAAGATGTCACCGTAAAAAACAGTATAGCTATTCTACTTTAGAGATGGTTTCAATAGGTAAATGATTGTTTAGAGGTACCAATTTTTGAAACAGTGATACAGGTGTATGCCGTCTTTTATTGTTTCGTGATTTTCATATATATTTGTCTCGTTTGGTTCCAAATTATCGATTGATTTTGCCTGTGTATGAACAAGTGTTGACCACGTTGCCAGATTATCGATTTATACGATAATTTCACAATTCTTTCTAGGACGAATTTGATTTTAAAGTGGGTGAAATATACAATAGTGAAATGCAGGAAAGGGAAGGAACTTTATTGCATTCCGATGTAAATTAAATCCGAATGACCTGGCATCATTGTATGATACACACGTAATATTGGCGGTCTTTGCTTTTTTCTCCTGAATGTTATTTTATCTTTATAAGGAATCTTATTTCTGAGTTAACACGTTGACTGCTATGTGTATGTACCCATGTGTATGTCCTATTACTGCGTAATTGTTCAATATTTTAATTTATGTTAAAGACACGCAAACATGTTTCAAAAAAAAGTTATATGGATTTAAAAAATACATATTTTAAAAATATTTTTAGATATATACAGGGTGCTACATTTTTGCTTGGTATATTTTTAAAATAGAACATGTATTTTATTTCAATTTTAGAATGGTTCGGTAATACTGTATTCAACCTTAGAATAATTTAAAAAAATATTACAGGTCTGCCAAGCAATTAAATTTTTATAAAATTAGAAAATAATGCAGACCCTAAATTAAATTATCATAATTCAAAATTGTTTAATATACTGACTTATAGCACATTAAGATAACGAATAGTAGTGATAATGCTGGATTATTTTATAGCGAGTGTTTTGAAACATGTCTTAAAATGGTTACTTTTAAGTCAAATTACTCAATTTTTCAAAGGCAGCATTTGATATAATATTTTAGCATACAATTCCTTATAAATTTGCATATCCAACGATACCAACATGTTAGAGAATAACATATATACAGAGTGTCTCATCAGTGCGTAATTGATCGATAGCTGTTTTATTATTAGAAATAAGAAAAAAAAAATAATATAAAAGTTATATGACCATATTAAAAATTATTCCTATATATACAGGGTGGTCCATAAACGAGATGTTGACCAAACCTATACATTTTTAAATCAAAACACCCTGCAGGTAGTCA